TGTCCCCAGTGCCCCAGCAGTGGCCCCAGCAATGTCCCCAATGTCCCCAATGTCCCCAATGTCCCCAATGTCCCCAGTGTCCCCAATGTCCCCAATGTCCCCAGCAGTGTCCCCAGTGTCCCCAGCAGTGTCCCCAGTGTCCCCAGCAGTGTCCCCAGCAGTGTCCCCACCGTGTGGCAGTGCCAGCCCCAGCAGGACGGATCCGCGCTGTCTCTCGGCCTGGAACAGCGCGGGGAAGCAGGAGCGCACGCTCAGGGCTCGGCTGTCCCCGGCAAACACCCCCCGGCACAGACTGTCCACAGCCAGCTCGGCCACCTGCGGGGACACACGGACAGACAGGGGGACAGACACAGGGACACACGGACACACGGACAGACACACGGACACACGGACACGGGACAGACACACGGACACGGGACAGACACAGCGACACGGGACAGCCACACGGACACACGGGACAGACACACGGACACGGGACAGACACACGGACACACGGACAGACACACGGACACACGGACACGGGACAGACACACGGACACAAGGACAGACACGGGGACATGGGACAGACAGAGGGACACAAGGACAGACACACGGACAGACACGGGGACAGACAAGGACAGACAGGGGGACACACATGGGGACGTGGGGATGGACACAGGGACAGGGACAGCCGTGGGGACATGGGGACACCAATGGGGACAGCAGGGACAGCCACAGGGACAGTGACAGTGACAGGAACAGTGACAGGGACAGTGACAATGAGCACAGGGACAGTGACAGGGACAGTGACAGACAGGGGAACAGTGACAGGGACAGTGACAAGGGACAGGGACAGTGACAGACAGGGGGACAGTGACAGGGACAGTGACAATGAGCACAGGGACAGTGACAGTGAGGACAGTGACGGACAGAGGGACAGTGACAGTGACAGGGACAGTGACAGGAACAGTGACAAGAACAGTGACAGGGACAGTGACAGGAACGGTGACAATGAGCACAGGGACAGTGACAGACAGGGGAACAGTGACAGGGACAGTGACAATGAGCACAAGGACAGGGACAGTGACAAGGGACAGTGACAAGGGACAGGAACAGTGACAATGAGCACAGGAACAGTGACAGACAGGGGGACAATGGACAGGGCAATG